CTCGAACTCTCAGCAATCCTCCGGCCTCAGCCTCCCTAGTGTTGGATTACAGACGTGCTATTTTCCCTGACTCCCCAGGCATTTTTAGAGACAATGCCTCAGTAAGTTGTTAAGTCCCCACACTGGACTTGAACTTGCTGTCTCCCTGCCTCAACCCTCCAGAGTACTGGGATTACAAGTATGTGCCACCACATCTAACTTAATTTCTTAAAAAAATTTGACTATAGCCGGGTATGGTGGCACACATCTATAATTCCAGAACTGGGAGGCTGGATCAGGAGGATCACTGCAAGTTTGTGGCCAGCCTGGACTACACAGTGACGTCAAGGCCAGCCTGAACTATATACAGCAAGACCCTGTCTCAAAATAAAGTACAAAAAAAAAAGGCAAAAAAATTGTGATTACAGTAGAATTCATCCTAAAGTGTTCGGAACAAATGCTGTAATCAGAAAGAAAATAAACTGGTAGTACTTCTTTTTCTGTTTGTTTTTGTTTTTTTGGTTTTTTTCTGGTACCAGGAATTGAACTTACAACCTTGCGCTTGCCAGGCAGGCGCTGTGCTGCTGAGCTAAATCCCCAGCCCCTGTACTTCTTAAATAATGGCAGATGTTCTTTGTATTTGAGTTGAGATTACATGATACTTAGATTTCTCTTAAATTCTTTTTCTTTTGGGGGGTTTGTTTTGGAGATTGAACCTAGAGCCCTATGCTTACTAAGCACACACTCTAGCACTGAGCTACACCCAGCCTTCCTCCTCCTAATTCTGACTCCAGTTCTGTGTGACGAAGGGCATGCTCACCTGGACACGAGTGCGAAGTCTACTGCATTCATCAGTGAGGACCTGAAGCTGCAGCCGGCACTGTGCAGATTCTAACTCGGCCTGCTTTCTTAGCATCTGCTCCTTTTCTAAGGCACTAGACCGGGAAAGCCAACAATGGGGGGATTAGCCAGGCCTCCCATCGAGCTGGGCAAGTAGGTTCACCATGTCACACATACTTTGTGATAAATACATCAGGACAGTTGATAAAATATAAAGAGAGAAAAATCTCTCTAGCCCAGAAGCACTACAGGACAGCAGCACGCAGGCTGAGGGAGCCTCCTTGGGCCGTGAGGTTACAGAGAACACTGATGGCCAGGAAGCGACTCCAGCCGGGGAATGGAGATTGAAGAATGAGCAAAGGAGGGAGCAGAGCCAATGTGCAAGCGCTGCCTGAGCTAAGGCAGTTACAGAAGATTAACGCTCACAGACCAGGGTTGTTTAATCAAAAGAAAATAATAAGCCATTGGTTGGTTGTTCATGGAATAGTCTAGATAAATAACAGCAGCAAAATAAGGCTCAAGTTAAAAAATGCTAACAAAAGAGCAATCAGAATGAAGGTAAAAAGACTACACAGGCATGAAGAACGATACTATATAAGAAAATGACACATTCACCGAGAATACCAATCATAAATGTGTATGTACCAAAAAATAGTTTCAAACTATGAAACACAAAAAACAAGGATATAACTCCACTCCAGGAAAACTGGAAAGAAAAAAAGATAATGAAAACTAGAAAGGAAGGAGTTGGGTGTGGTAATGTATGCCTGTAATGTTGGGAGGCTGAAGCAGGAAGATTGCCCCAAGTTTAAGGCCAGTCTGGACTACATGGCAAGACCCTATCTCAAAAAGCTTAAAAAAGAGGGAAAGGAAGAGAAAGAAAATTAGGAAAAGATAAAGCTTCCCTCATTTATTTTCACAGATAATTCAAGAGAACCTGTAAACTATGGCGGTTCGGCAAGGTTGCTAGAATCAAGAGCAACCAATCAGATCAGCTGGGCATGGCGGCCTGAGCCTGCATCTTAGCAACTCAGGAGGACCCTGAGTTTGAGGAACTGCCAGTGTTAGGCATCTGAGCTACATACCCAACCTGATTATTATTATTATTTTTTTTGGTTTTTCTCCGGTACCGGGAATCGAACTCACAACCTTGCGCTTGCCAGGCAGGCGCTTTGCCACTGAGCTAAATCCCCAGCCCCTTACCCAACCTGATTTTGTCTTTTCAACACAAATAAATATTTGTTGGAGCAAATAAATAAACTCAAATAAAGAAGAAAATTAAAAAATAAGTTGTGAAAATCTGAAGTATCTTCCAGTTTAGAAAAAAGCAATCCCACTAATGTTTTCATGTGATAACCTATGTGCACTCATTATCAGCACTTTTTCTGTTTGTTTGCATGAGACGGCATCTTGCTATATAGTCCAGGCTGGCCTGGAACTCACAGGGAGTCTCTGGCCTCCACCTCAGTGCTGGAGTGAATCACAGACACATGCCAAAACACCAGACAGCATCAGTTTTAATGAACATATAATATTCCATTACATGGATATGCCACAGTTCACTCAAGTAATTAATTCTCTTGGTCAGGACTAGTAAACTCAGTTTCATTAAGCCTTGGCACATATCCTTGTTTCTTTAGAACAAATGCCTGAAATAGAATTACCTGACG